AAGAAGAGAGGAAAAGTCTTGTCAGTAAGTTAAGCTTCCACTTTAAGAACCTGGAAAAAGAAAAGCAAATCACCCAAAGCAAATAAATAGGAAAGAGCGGCAACTGACGAAATCTGGAACAGAAAAGTAGTAGAGAAAATAATGAAATGCAGTGTTGGTTCTCTGAAAAGATGAAAAAAAATGACAAACCTCTAGAAACATGGACAAAGGGAGAAGACACAAATTTAAAAATCAGGAATAAAACAGGGGCTATCAGTACAGACTCAGCAGACAACAGACGCATAATAAGGGAATATGATGAACAACTACACACAGAAATTTGACAACACGGGTGAAGTGGACCAATTCTCTGAAAAACACAAAGTACCCCAACCCCCCCAGTATTAAACAATTTGAATAGCTCTAGAACTATTGAAGAAGTTGACTTTGCAGTTGTAAAAACTGCCCACAAAGAAATCTCTAGGACTATATTGAAAAAGAATAAAACTGTCTTTATTTGCAGATGACATGACTAAGTAGAAAAGCTCAATGAATCTATAAAAAACTTCTAGGACTAATAAGTGAGTTCAGCAATGTCACAGGATACAAGACAAACATACAAAAGTCAATTGTATTTCTATACACTACCAATGAATAGATGGACAAAACAATAAAAAATGTGATATCATTTATAAATGCTCAAAAAAATGAGAAATACTATGTATAAATCTATCAGTACAGGACTTGTAATGATGCAAACTCCACAATACTGATGAAAGAAATCAAAGAAGACATAAGCACCTGAAGAGATATATTATGTTCATGAATTGGAAGACAACATAGTAAAGATTGGAATTCTCCCTGAACTGATACAGAAGTTCAACACAATTCCTATCGAAATCTTGGCAAGATTTTTTTTGTTGATATTGCAAATTCTAAAATTTGTATGGAAAGACAAGGAACCAGGATAGCTAAAATCATTTTGTAAAAAAAGAATGAAATGGGAAGAATTAATCTACCCAATTTCAAGACTTATTTTATAGCTACAAGAATCAAGACTGTGTGGTAATGGTGGAGGGACAGAAACATAGATCAATGAAACAGAATGGAGAACCCAGAAATTCATACACCCACACAAAAAATAACCAACTGACTTTTGACAAGGAGCAAAAGTAATTCAATGAAGGAAAATAGGGGGTTGTCCAAATGCTACCTTCTCAGGTAGACTTTTCTTACCTTCCTAAATTGGACCTTGCCTGCCCTAATCCAGAGTCTATATAATTGTCCAATTTCATTTTTTTTCAGAGCATTTATCGTGGTCCCCCTGTTTCTGCTGATTTACCTTCTTGTTTATGGTCTGTCTGCCCCACCCTTGGACACAGTAGGCTCCAGGAGGACAAAGAACACGTCTGCCCCATCACTAAGGGAGCACAGTAAGCGCTCATGACTGCTCAATAAATAAATGCCCTGGGGAATTATGTGTGGGAGAAATGGGCCAGGAGCTCACACTCTTTAAACAGATGGATTTGTAAAAATGACTATATTGTTCTGCTTTTGGAAAATATCTAGAGACACTGAATTCTTTTGAGGTTAAGATATAGATTGGGGGCAAAAGAGCACATCTGCCACAGATTTCATGTAGTATGTGAATAAGCACAAGTCAAAGATAGGGACAAAGCATGTATTTCATTTTATAGGATAGCTGTATTTCTGTGAGTTGACCATAAAGTGAATTTATTTACAATAATTCTATGTTGTCATCCACTGTGCTGATAAAAGCAAGTATTTGTTTACATAGGATGGCAGACTCGGTCTGAACAAGAATCGTTCAGTGGAGGGCGGGGGAACAACGCTATACAGTTGTGTGATATATAATGTATAGTTATTACTATCCTCCAACAGGATGCTTTATGAGGTCACGACTTTTTATTGCACTTCCTCAACTCTGAATTTCTCTGCCATCGTCTCTCAGGTCTTTTTCTTCTTTTTTGAAGCAAAGTAAAAGTTTTATTTAAAGTTACGTAAAGAGAGAAAAAGTACAGGACCTCAGGGAGGAGAGGCACCCTGAAAGGTTGGAGAGAAAGTCTACACACTTAAAAAGTGTGAGTGACCTACGAGAGAGGTGAGCGCTGAAAGATTGGGGGTTCCCCTTTTAAGGACTTTTTCAGGAATGTGACAAAGGGCTAGGGGTGTGGACTTGCTAGGTGGTCTCAAGATGTTTATCTTTGATGAGACATTAAGTTTCTTATCAAGTTTTCAGGTCTTATTTGGCCACAGGAATGTCACTCACGGTTTGGGAACGCCTGACTTCATCCTGCAGCCCTGGGAAATTTATCCAGACCCCACCTTCAGTGTGCGAAATTGTAATACCACATTTCACCAGTAGGGGTTGCCACTGAACTCTTTTAATAGCAACCTAACTCTTGAATGGGACAACTTTCTCAGGCTGCCCGCTCCTGACTGATAATGTCCTATTTCTTGGTCTGGGTCCTGATCACACAGGTAAGTTTACCTTGTGAACATTCATTAGGTTTTACAATAATGATCTGGGCACTTCTCTATATGTATATCATACTTCAAAATAAAATTTACTCTAAATATCTATAGATTAGGCTTATTTGATATACAGGATGCTTCAGTGATTACTAGAATTCCCACCACAGCCTGAAGAAAGGGAAAAACAAAAACAAAAACAAACTGAAACCGAAAACCTAATTTGAACACCAGACCCTGGGGACAGAACTAGGAATGGTTTTCACTAAGGTGGTTTCTTAGGTACTTTCAGGTGAAAGCCTTCTATCTATCTATCATCTATCTATCTATCTATCTATCTAATCTAATCTATCTATCTATCTATCTATCTATCTATCTATCTATCTATCTATCTATCATCTATCTATCTATCTATCTATCTATCTATCTATCTATCTATCTATCCATCCATCCATCTTAAATTGGGGATTGAGGGAGTGAGGGGTGGGAGAGTTTGGTTTTGAAGTGCTTCCAGTCTTTGTGGACTTGCCAAGGCCCATTACGTGAGGGCTGGCACACCTGCTCCCATCTGGGGGCTCGGTGGGGCTTGACATCAAGCACAGATCTAGCCTGCAGTGGGCCCTGAGACTCTGGGCTAAGGACTGGGTGTGAATGAGAATACCTAGCAGGACTCTCTCTGGACCTCAGGCCAGCTGCTCCAAGGCTCAGAAAGCAGGTGGGCCACACTGCTGCTGCTTCATGGTGGGGCCATCCCTGCTGTGCAGAGAAGGCAGCTCCAGGTGCCCCTCTTCACTCTTGGTGGGCAGCCCACTGGCCTAGTCTGCAAGGGGAACCCCTTCTGCCCTTTTGAATTGGGGGCCTACTTCCCCTCAGACTTCATAGGCTCTACTGTCTTAGAGGGACCCCAGAGTTCTCCTGAGGGGCAAAGGAGGAAGAGGCTGGTGCTGGAGCCAGACTGCCTGGGTTCAGTCCCAGCTCTGTCACTCCCCAGCTGTGTGACCCTGAACATGTTAGTCACCCTCTCCATGCCTCGGTTTCCCCTCCTGTTAAATGGGCATAAGAATAGTCCCCCCTCAAAGGTTGTTTCTGAGGATTAATAAAGTTAACCTTATAATGAGCTTAGGCATATAGTAAATATGAAATATATATTTTAGCTTAAAAGATCCTCACTTGGGTCCTGAGACAGTTCATTATAAAAGGGTTCCAAGGTTAAATGAATTTGGGAAACACTTGACTGCCTTTGTGACTTAGGGTATCAAGGCTTGGGGGTAGACAAATTGGTGTAACCCAATGTTATCCTGAGGGGAGGAGCTGTCCACAGGTCGGTATTCACGGCTGGCTGGTATCTAGGTTGCAATGAATGGTTAACTATGTTGGCGTCACCCTTGCTGAGGGATGGTTTCTAGAGAATCCCCTTTGGGACATTCTGAGTGCCACGTCCTGTGGTGAAGCCGTCTTCATGATAGAGATGGCTTATAAAGAAGCACTTGCTAAGTGGCAGGGACAATTTGATGGGCACTGACTCATTTTATCTTCACTACCACACTAAGAGATTATTGTCCCCCTTTTCAGATGAGGAAACTGAGGCAGAGGAAGTTAAGTAACTTAATTAGGGTCATAAGGCTAATAAGTGGCACAGACAGGCTTGAACATGCACAATTTGGCTCAAGTCCATGCTTTCAGCTACGTGCTCCTCCTGAGAAGCCCTTGGGTATGTATGGTTGGTGCACAAACTCCTCTGAGCCTCTCAGGCAGACTGGTGCTTCCATGGTTACAGTGGTGGGACACTTGTCACAGCCTCCCCTTGCCCTGGGCTTGCCAGTGGCCAGCTGGAAGATAGACACCCCGTGGCTGTCCGTTCTCAAAGTTCTCCACCAACTTGCACAGCAATGCTTCATGGCCCACTGGCAGGGACCAGATGTCTCTGTGCTGTCACCAAACACTTTTTAACAGTTGATTTCAAATAGCCCAAGGCCTGAGCTGGTGTTTCAAAGGAGCTGCAGCATTCTTTGTTGCTGGAAAGTTAGGTGTCAGCAGGAATTCAGAGGCCCATGAGAAAAGGGTGAATCTCAAGGGGTCATGCTAGGCTCATCCAATCCTCTGCATCTGAAGGGCCTTCTCCAGGGCTGGCCTTTCCAAGAGCCTTGGCAGGGTCTGTGGCCCACTGAAGCAGCAAACTTGCACCCACTTCCCACAGAGCACTGCTTCCCAAACACCTCAGAGCCCCCTGGGGCACATGTGCTGGCAGCATCTCCCCAGCTTTCATGCAAGTTCCTTGGGTGCGTTAGAAGATATCTTGGACTTTGCCCCATATGCCTAAGTGCCTTGGGATGTAAGAGGTGCTCAGCAGAACAGCGGCCCGACAAGAGCTGCACAAGTCCCATTACCCAGCTGGGTACACATGCCACCAGGGGTGTGGCTGTAGGGATCCTGCCTGGAGAGCAGGCCCAGGCTAAGGGATCACAGACAGCCTGAACCTCTAACCTGCTTCTCTGCCGATGACCGCAGCAGCATTACATTCCTCTTACCTTGCTCGCTTTCAGGATCTCAAACATGAGTGGCAGGCCTTGGATGATGAGCTCCTCCGTGTACTCTTCCTCCTGGATGGTCTTAAACTCCTTTAGCAGGCACTGAATGAGAGGCCTGCGGTGCTGCTGGGAGGCGATCCGCAAAGACTCCAGCCACGTGTGCAGGGTCCACGGGACGCCTGGAACGGGGGAAGGGAGGGATAAGGGGGGGAGGGCAAGGCAGGAAACAACCAAAAGAGAAGGTGTGTTTTCATCTGCAAGCCGGCCTGTCCCCAGGACATTACTAAATTATGAGACCAAGAGATTGACTTTCAATCAGAGAGCCAGTGTTAACTTTTTCCTAAAGACTTGTAGAAGTTGGAATTACAGGTCATGATTCAATTCCCTTAACGCTGGGTGTCCATTTCTGCATGCTACTCATATCATCAGGGGCTGCATTTTACAGGTAGAATCATTGTGCAGAATATTAGAATTATTACACATATTACTTATGCCTAGTTCATGCTTTTGAGTTCTGACTTCATTCATCTCCATCTCTCCTACTTTCCAGGGAGAGAGAAGCTCGGGGAGGGGAAGAGTCCAGCCCAGGACCAAACGGCACGTCCGTGCTCAGGCAAGAGCTTCGAGCTGGCGAAACCCACTGGGGACTTCACCCTCTACTGCTCTGGCGAGGACAGATCTGTACATCTGAGTAAGAGGACCCGGGAGGATATAGCTGCTGCTCCCCCGTGCACACAACATTTCCATCTGCAGACACTTCGCTGGGTCTTCCTTCTTTTATAGAAAGCTCTCCGGCAGCTGATGGCTGTGATTTGCTCCTCTTTCTCGTGGTGAGGCATGGATGAGAGAATGTGTCTTACAACTGCTTATAACAAGCAGATGGTTTGGAGACTCGAGCTTCACAATCACGCTAAACAGGCTCTCAGGGCAGTGGTATGAACATCCCACCTAGTAAGCAGCCACCCGAGGCAGAGGCCCGTTTCCAGAACAGCATCGGGGGGCCTGCCCTCAGGCCCTCAGCCTACCTCCACCTGCCACACTGTGTGCTTAAGGCCAGGCTAAGTCCACTGCTCCTCTGCTGGGGCTAATGCTGTCCGAATGGTGCAGGCAGAATGAGCCTGTTCCCCAGACACGCAGGAGAGATGGAGCTGGGAGAGCTCACCCAAGGAAGGGCCACCCCTAATCCTCCCTGAAAGTGGCTTTGCCCCCCGACTCAGTGGGCGCAGCCCTGGTAAGGAAGGGGCATCCGCATCCTAGCTGCTCCTCACCTGCTGCTTCATGGATTTGGGGGCTCTAAGGCAGCAATTCCCCAACCACTGGGAACCACCTGGGATGATTGTTAAATATAAAGATTTCCAGCCTTTATCCATCCAGACCCTCAACAGCAGAGCCTCTGGGTGTAGGGCCTGGCAATCTGTATTCAGACAAGCTCCCAGGTGATTCAAATGCTCAGGGTCCAGAGCTTGAGGATCATGGAAAGATGACCTGGAATGGGTCTTTGGGCCTGGCGGGATGCTGCTGTCAATGGGGGCAGTGTGGGTGTCTTAGCCGGGAAGTGCTCCAACCAGCAGATGAGAAGTTCCCTGGGCCCATGTGGGAGGGTGTGTGTATGTGTGTGTACGTCAGACCTAGAGCCAGGCAGTGGTGTGTGTGTGTGTGTGTGTGTGTGTGTGTGTGTATGTCAGACCTAGAGCCAGGCAGTGGTGCTGCGCCCAGCGGTGGAGGGTGCCCAGACTGACCTATGCTCCTGATATCAATTGTGACATCCACGTAGCCATGCTCAGCGCTGTGATACATGGCCTCCCTCAGGGCCCTCAGTTTGGCTTTGCTGTTGCGGCTGGCACACAGGGGAGGCGGGGCTGTCTCCGCCAGGTCAGTCCCCTCAGCCAGAATCTCCTCCAGGGACAAGATGTCACTCTTCTCCTTCTCTGGCTGAGCGAGCAGTTTGCGGAACACATTCCTGTCAATCATAAACCCAGAGAGGAAGACACTCAGAGAGAGAAGGGCTTTGCCAGGGCGGGGGAAGTGGGGAGACCACTCACTTGGGACAAGGGAATGGTGGGACCTACCCTGGGGCGGGGGTCTCAGAGGCCTGCCTGCAGGCGCTGGGTTTTGGGGAGGGAGGAGGTGTGAGGGAGGGACTNCTCAGAGAGAGAAGGGCTTTGCCAGGGCGGGGGAAGTGGGGAGACCACTCACTTGGGACAAGGGAATGGTGGGACCTACCCTGGGGCGGGGGTCTCAGAGGCCTGCCTGCAGGCGCTGGGTTTTGGGGAGGGAGGAGGTGTGAGGGAGGGACTCGCTGTGTTTCCTGAGGCCAACTTGCAGGCAAGTGCTTTCCTCAGATACCTAGAAGGCTCTAGAACTCTGCCCTTCTATCTGTCAGCCTGCACTGCCCCCACAGTGAATTTGCTTGACTTGAGGTTGTGTGTAATAAAATCTGATGGGGTAAATCCTGAAGGAAACAAGGTGGGAAGGAACCAAATCTGAGAGTTTTTATTACTTTTTAAACGGGTTCTTGTCAGTTCACATGGCCAATGTGATGCACTGTGACCAACCCTGGCAAAGAGTGGTGTCTCTGTGAGGTGCAAGCTGGTGCGGACAAGACGCACAAGCCAGTCTGAGCCGGTGTGTGCTGCGGGAAGTCGGCTCTTTGCAGAAAGCTGGCACTTATGGCCTCTCTGGCTGGGCCTGGGGCCTGGACTGCCTCTGGGCCCCACATCCAGAGAGGTAGTGGGTCTGGGGTAGGCCTGGGAATCTGCATTTTTAACAAGCACCACTGGGGACCTTGTGGCTTTGGCCCAGCCTAGCCTACCTGTGTCCGTGGGCTGCGGCCTGGCTGAAAGAGTTCATATCACCCTGGGGGGTTGTAGAAATTCCATTCCTGTACATGGTTCCTATCAGGGGATCCGCGCCACGCTCCAACAGCAAACTAACCAGCTCAAAATTTCCTGCAAGCCCAGAAGAGGGGGTTTTATAAGAGAATCATGGGAGATGTACGGTTACAGACACAAGGAGGAGCAGGGTGGTGGAGACCCTTGGCCAGGATAAGAGTCGGAGGCTCTTACCTACGGCAGCTGCGAGCTGGAGAGGCGTCTCTGAGTAGTTCTCCTCGCCGTGCTCCACAGAGCCTTCCACCTTGGCCCCGGCGTCGAGGAGGAGCTGCGAAGGAAGAGTGCTCACTGAGACGCTGACAGGACATGCGCCGTGAGGCGGCGTCACAACTTGGTGGAAATCAGTGCAGTGTCAATGCTCCTGCCCTCCCTCGGGGCCGGTGACCACGTGCACAGGGCTAAGGCAACTGCTCCTCAGGATAAACTGAGAGCCTCTCTTATCTTCTACCAGCCTCAGACCACTTGAGGGGTGGTCTATGGAAAGCAGCATCAGCTTGTTTGAAATGCTGGCTCTCATGCCCCACTCCAGAACAACTGAGCAAGGGTCTGCGTTTCACAAGGTTCTCAGGTGACTTTCATATACATTAAAGTTTCCAGAAACCCTGAGCTAGATGCTTACGGCACCTGAGTGCTGGAAGACTCCCTTACTTGGTCAGGTCCACAAAACCTCGGAGAGCGTTAAAGGGCCCTCTTAGAACCACACAATCTCAGGGGTTCTGAAGGACCTGGGACCCCCTGGGCCAAGCAGGGCGAGAATCCCTTCTAGAATACTGTGGATGGCTCTGAGGACAGTTTAGCAAATGCTAAGTTTCCTGGCCAGCAAGGTCAACTACTAAGGTGGCCAGGAGTTTGGCTTCATGTGACTCCATTCTGGGCATTTCCCTAAGATGTCTGGGCTTCCTGAGAACAGAGATTCTGTCCATGCCAGACCCCACAGTGAATGTGCTGTCAGCACCGCTGATATAAAATGAGGGGGAAAATGTGCCTTCTTTACTACCCAGTCAGGGCTACCTGGGGGCGCAGCTGGGAGGGAGCTGCCTACTTGGCATTTCATGACTTGTACGCCTGCCATGGAGAGGCGGCCTGGTTTCTGTTGTGCTCTGCTTGGCTGCCCGCTGCTCTGTTCCTGATTTATAGGCTGGGGATACCACTGCGTGTTAAGGGATGGCATTTGTGCCCACTAGGCTGCCCTCTGATCCTTTCTTTCTTAGAGTCCTCCTAGGAGGGGACTGGCCACGACATTCTACAGGCAAAAGCCAGATCTCCGTGTGCTGTGTCACCCACTCAGCCTCCTGGAAACATGCCTTCGTGCCTGTCTCCAGGATTCCTGCGCCCTAGGAAACAGCAAAGGAGCCCCGTGGAATTCCAACACTGCCTAGTGGTCCCTGTAACATAATTTCCTGCTCTGCATAATCCCAAGAGGCCACCTAAAAGGAGGTGAGTCCCCGAGGGTCCTGAAGCTCAGCACTCAAGATGGGGCCAGGTGGGCTCATGGATGCTGATTTGTTTTTCCTGAGCAAGTGAAGATCAAAGTACTGGATGGCTATTCACTGAACACCAGCTCTTCAATGGCCAGAAAAGGTGCAGGCAATACACAGTCATATGCCCAAAGGACCTTGGGTGAGGACATCTCGCTATACCTGGGCAGCTGCTTCAGAAGACACAGGCGAAGGCCTTACTCTAGACCTCTCAGTAAGTGGGGTCCAAGCAAGTGTCTTTTTGGAACTGCTCACTTGCTGACTTGATGCTTCCCTCCACTGTTGAAAACCACTGGACTCTATGCAAATACTGGGGTCACACTTACAGGGAGGTCCTAAGGTCTCACCGTGGACAAGTCTTACGTTCATGTTCTGACACGCAAAGGAAACAAAGCCACAAACCCACAGCTCAGGCCCCACCCTCGAGCAACTGGGAACACCTTGGTAGGTTTGCCACTCTGTGTGTAAGGCTACGTGTGAGTATAGATAGTTTCATATTGGTTAAAGCTGGGCCTTGTAGATCATTCCATATATATTCATTCATAGGATACAATGATGCTATATTTAACTGCAATTAACCAATATGAATCTCTTAGGGAATATGCATGCTAGGAGAGGTAAAATTAAAGGTGTGGATAGGGAAATACATTAATACCTGAACTACAGGAATATGTCCATGCAACACAGCAAAAGTCAGAGCCGTCCAATGGCGGGTCTCAGGGTGGACAGATGGATATTTATGAGGAGTACTGACAACCTATAAACAAATTGAAGTTATTTTCAAAATGTGACCTTCACAATACTTAGACTAGCAAATCTGACCTATCAGTGGCTGGGCATGTGGGCTAGAGGTGCACAGAAGGGCATCCCGGAAGGTGCCTTGGGAAGTGTTGGTAATGTAGGGTAGTGACTTTATGTCTTCTGTCTGTGCAGAATAGGGACACTTTTGCTTCTCATCTGAAAGGAGTTAAGTGGATGACTTCTGACCACCTCTGAGGTGCCTTGGGGAAACCGTAATGGTGGTTACAAGGAGGAAGCTCCCCTGCCTTTTTCCTTTTTCTGCTTAAGGGAGGCTGGTGGTTCTGAGAGCTACGGGATGTCAGATAGCGTGAGATGCCGCTACTGTTGTATCCACACCTTTAGGGGAAATTCTCAGCAGCAGCAAACCCCAGGCAAGGGGAAGGTCTGCTTCAAGCTCTCAAGCGAGGGAAGACCACCCCCCACTGATGGAGGAATGTCACCGTCTGATCACAGCTCACCCCACGCTGTCCTCATGTCATTCTTCTGCTGGCTTCCGGATAGACAAAGACCTGCGTGCTATTGAGAACCTGGGCACAAAACCTTCCCTGGACACTCGGTGAATAAGCAACCTGACACTGGTCTTTCGATATGGGCCTCAAAACATCCCAGGCCAAGAGAGAGGCAGCAGGGCAGCTAGAGGTTGGGGTCCTGCAGGATTGGCACCTACACGTGGCTTTTCTTTCAAACACTCCTGGCTGGGGCCACAGGACCGTGATACCTGTTTCATTCCGAGCAGTTGAGTTCATCACCCGCGGGGGAGAGGGCTTGAGCTGGGAGCCGCGGGATGGGCTAGACAGGACCAGAGAGCCCCACCAGCACCCAGGGCGAGGCGCCCTTTCAGTGTTTCTGCATGGTGCCTGGGGATTCATAACAGGGGGAAAGAAATCCCCAATGCTTAAAACTGTAAGATTTAATGGTTGTGAGATCCAAAATGGTTCTGGATCCAAAACTGTATCTTTTGCCTGCCTTCCTCAGATGAATATGAAACTGATTTTTAAAAAATGCGTGCAGTAACAAGACTACAAGAGCATCTAATTTTGAACTAAAAAGGCTTCCCCAGGTTGCTGAGTTAGGATGGCAGTGTGTCATTCTTCCTAGCCTCTGAGGTCGCCAATATCTGCCTGCTAGATAGAGTGGCTCTTAACACAGCATAAGACCTGGTCACAAAGCATGATTCCACCTAATGCAAACCTTGTGGAAAGGGGTAGGACCAAGACAATTGAGTCCCAAACTTATGCTCAGTACTCTGGGTTCACGCTTCCAACAACTCTCTGAGATGAATGCGGTTTTTTCCTCCACGTTGCAGATGATGACTGAGGCTCAGAAAGGCGAAACCACTTGCCCAAGCACGTAAGCAAGTTACTAAGACCCAGCAGTTTCAGAATTTGAATCCAAGTGTCAAATCGCAAAGCCTGTGTGGGTATGTTTTCTGCTCTACCATGCCACCTCAAGGAAGTTTCACAATTAGCTTTAAGACCTCTGGCTTCAACTCAGACAGGTGAGCTCAGCAGGATTTGGGGGAGAGGGCAGAGGATCTGGGGGAAGCTGCACCTTGTTCAGGGAATAGGGGCTGCCTTTGTGTTAGAGGGGAAGGGCTGATGGCTCAGCAGCACTCTCTCTGTCCGGATCCCAAAACGAATGGATTTGCGTTGAGAATCAGAGATTCAATCAAATGAGTGAAGGAAAACTTGGTGCTCCTTGAGGCTTCTTTAGGTGTTTTTAAATGAAATGTACATGCAGGCAGCTCCTTGGAGTGTGGCTGGGCTGGGGCCTTGGGACAGAGAAAACTGTGATCTGGTCTGACCTATTTGCTGGACTGAGTACCTTCTAAGGTGGCTCTTGGGAGAAAAAGCCCCCCTCTCTTTACTCGCCTTCTCCTGGGGACTGCCAGGCCAAGGGGCCCTGCAGCCCTCTGCACCCTCACCTCCACATTCAGGTCAGCTCCAGCATCCAGCAGCATCTGAACCATTGCCTCGTCCCCACGGACGCAGGCGTACATCAGGGGGGTCATGCCCTGTGGTAAGTTAAAAACCAGAGAATGTAGAAGGTTTACAAGGTGGCTATGTCACTCGGCAATAACAAACAGAAAATCTTACGTGTATGTAGGAGGCTGTGTGTGTACTCAAAACCCAGCATTGAAAAATTAACATGCAGCCCTATAATTCGTAAGGTTGCAATTCTCTATATTTTGAAAACCAAAGTGGAGGCAAGAAGGGAACATAAATTGCCTTTTTTGCATTTATTTTTGCTTAAAGTGGAGGATTTTTGTCTGTCTGTCTCAGAGTGCAACAGACCTAAGAGTGTTTGCTAAAACAAGTGGCTGATTTCAATGTATAGTTCTTAGGAACTTTCTGGATTTTGCAATATCATCCCTAAGCTATCTCACTGGTAAATGCTGTTTTCCTTGACATTTTCTCTTTCACAATATAGCAAGTGTCATCTTTGCTCTGTACAAGATGCTGGTCAGTGTCAAGGGAAACTGGTTGCCTCTGAGCATGCCCACATCACTGACATCTGGTTTGACGTTATCATTTACAAGCAAAAGGCAAGTGAATAAGGAATGGTTTTCAGGAATTCTCTATTTGCCCATGATTCCGGCTTATTACAAACAAGGCACTGCAAACAACGGAAGGAAGGGACGGATTTTTCAATAAAGAGTGTTGTGACGGTAGCTATTTGGGGTAAGTGTTCGAGTTAGAGCCTTATCTCACAGCATATACAAAAAGTATTTCTAGTTTGACTAGAGATACAGAGAAAAAATTAAAACCATAAAAGACATCTAACTGGATCTGTTTCTAGTCAAAAGTAATGGAAGAAACCACAAAGGAAAATCATTACAGCATTGGAGACATAAAATTGGGAACATTATAAAAGAATTAAAAGGTAAACAATAGACTGAGACATACGTGTCACATTATAACAAAGGGTTATATGATTCATGTGTAAAGAGCTCTTCTAAATAAAGAAGAAAAACAGTAAAGTTCCAATGGAAAACAGGCAAAAGGTAAGTAACAGATTAATAGGGAACACATATTCTGTTGAAGGGTGTGTACAAGGAAACAGAGTCTCTCGGGAAGTGGCTTGAGATGAAGAATCTTAAGAAACATTGATGCTTTTGAGCCACTATTTCCAGTTTAAAAAATTTGCTTAATGAAATAATCAGGGATTTGAACAAAGACTTGTGTAAGTATGTTTAGTCCAGCATTATAGATAAAAATAATTAGAAACCACCTAAATATCCAACAACCAAGGTATGGTTAACTGGAAGAATAATATGACCATTTTATGGAACCATTAAAAGTGATTTATTTTAAAAAAAGAATATTTAATACTAGCACAAAGTATCTTTAATATAAAATATTGAAAAAAGCAAGATATACATCCCTGCTTTTAAAAACAGTGTAAATGTCTGTGAGTGCACACACACACACACGTGTGTGTTAGGGCTTCTTGGTGTTTCTCAAGAAAATTATTAGCTGCTATTCCTTCCCTGGAACTAGATGCATGAGCTGCCCATGTGAGAAGCAGCTCCATCTGCCCCTTGTGACTTTCCATCTGGGGCTCATATTGGAAACTGCTTCTTGTTTTCTCTGTATGTAACATCTTCACCCACACGGGGTATTTTCCTGAGTGGTAGACACCTAAGTCTTTTACTATACCTTAGTTTCAGGGGCTTGGGGGCGGCTGACTGTATCTGAGGGGCCTCCTAGGGTCCCCCAGAATGATTTTTGTGTGCCTTAAACATATCCTGAAAGTTTGTTGAAAATCTGCTTGGACTGGTTCTGTGACACTGGCCAGTAACAGACAGGCAGGCAGAGAACTAATTTTAACCATGATGGATAAAGGACTTGAAGGACGCATACTAAATATAAATGATGGTTATCTGGGTGATGACATTATTTCCTTTCTGTAATAGGCCTATTTTTCTCTCTTTTCCATTTCAGCTGCAACGATCACGTGTAACTTCTCTAAAGACGAACAAGGATATTTTTATAGGATATTTTAAAACCAAAAAAAAAAAGCCAGGAAAAAAAATCACCCTAGTCACCAGTAGGGGGAGCCTCTGCCCAGTGCCTGCTGTTTCCACCGGCTGTTTGCCTTGGGGCCGCGCATGTGGTGGAGGTGGGGGGTGACTTCACTCTCCCACCCAGTACCTGTTCGCTCATGGTGTTGATCCCATCGGGCCCCAGGAGAGACACCGCCTGCTTCACCAGGTCTGTCCGCCCACAGTTTAGCATCCGGAAACCCAGGTCCTGCTTAAACTTGGCTTCGATGGCCACTGCGTCCAGTTTCCGAGAAGCACAAAAGCAGTCGTCCGCCCTACGGAAGGGACAGATGGTCAGCTGGGTGCAGTGGCTTCCCCAGAGATTGGTCCTTGAGGGCTGAGAGAGTTAGGCAGCACCAAGGAGACGCTGCATTCGCTTTTCCGCATCAATTGCCTGTTCCTAGACCCCAGTTAAAATATGGATGTCTTGATTCTTTGCGCTTTATAACTTTGACCCTTTGTCCTTTATAACTGCTGCCGATCTGTCCTGTGTGTCTTCTCCGTGCTTCCACGGCATCCTGAGCTAAGTATAAGGATGGCTGATATTTACCTAATATTTGCAATGGGCTAGGCACTCTGCGGAACTCTTTACATGAATGAATTAGTTTCATCCGCACAAGATCCCGGGAGTTAGGTACTATCATTACCCCTCTTTTAACCATAGGGAAATAGACACAGATAACGGACTTCCCCAAGGCCACACAGCTGGCACGCAACTGAGCTGGGATGTGAAGCAGGGCAGTCTGTGCACAGCCAGCCTGGGTTTCTGCTGGGGCACCCGGTCCCCCGGTCCCCCATCATGGCACATACTATTGCCTTTTTCCTTATCTGACTTCCCCTCCGGACTGGGGGCTTCTGAGAGCAGGGACCTTGTCTAGTGTGCCTTTGTGTCCCAGTGCCAGACGAGCACAGCACGTGCAGGTGTTAAAAAACATTAACTGAATGACCACAAAGTAGGTGGATTTTCTACATCAAAGCAGAGGCAGGACACAGAACTGGCAAGATGAAATGGGTGCAAGATGCACTGGAAACTAACCCAACCAGATGGGCGCAGTGAGAGAGGATAGGGAAGCAGGCGCAGGTGGAAACAACAGATTCAAAAAGGGGGTACAGATTCTGCTTGTAAAGGACATCACTTCCTTCTCACGGTGAGCCGAGCAGTCATTAAATCAAATCACCAAGCATTTCTGGAGCACCTGTTTGCAACAAGGTCTGCTGTCGGTGCTGAAGACGCAAAGCTCAACCGTCACTGTCTTTCCCTGGCGACCACTGCCCGGAAGCAGGAAGGGCAAAGACACTGGTCATTATAATTCTGTGTGGCTAATGCAATGATCGAGGTGATCAGTGACATGCAGCAAACTAGGTGGATCTGGCAAGGCTTCCTGGGGCAGTGACCCCTGAGCTGTGCTTACATCAGGGCACAGAAGAGAGGGCAGAAGATCTTTGAGCAGGGCCAGTGGGAGCGAAAGTACGGAGGTGAGACATGGCAGGCTATGTGAGGCAGCCATGGAGGTTTTAGTGTTTCTCGCCATAAACTCTTAGGCAGAGTGCCAGAGCTGAGGGACATGTGGGAGGCAGGGGCTAGATTACGGGGGAACTTCACTTAATCCTTAAGGCTCCAGACTTTATCCTTAAAAGACGTGGAAGGTTTTTAAGCAGGCAGGGGTGTGATATGATCGGACGGCCAGTTCTAGGGTGGGCTTGAGGGCAGCTGACCCTAAAGGTAGAGAGACTTGGTAGTGCTCAGTGAACTGGCTGAACAGGCAGAAGAAGCCACTGCCAGAGTGTCAAGGGACAGGGCTGAATGAAGGCGGTGGCTGCTGGGATGAGGACGTGGATTCTGTTTTCTCCACGTGTACTTGCCCAGAGGAACATGTAGATTATGACCCTTGCCCCAAGGCTAGTGGGACACACCCTTGCATCAGCTGGAGGCAGTGCTGTCCCAGACGCCTTCCTGCTCCTCCCCAAGCTGATGCAGAGCGTGGATACTGAGGCATGGAGGCAGGTGTCCAGAACTCCTGGTGACATTCCTGCGTCTAACTAACCCACTTTGTGGCATAGGGAGGTGGTATCATTTTTATCCTTGGTGGAAATAAGTGGGCCTATTGTTCCAGAAAGTTTATGGCATTAGGGCTTCTGTTCATCATAAAAGCCAGGATCTGGGACACCCACCTGAGGAGTGAGCCACAAAAAGGGCCTAAGTAAATGGGTGGGGTGGGTGTGCGCTTGACCCTCATTGGGTTCCTGATTTACGATTCATCTGCGGGCAGAGGAGGCTAGGGTGGAAGGCTGTCTGGAAATAGGCAGCCAGCGGTAGGAGATGCTAGGAGTTTGCTTCTGGCCACCAGGGGGCGCTGACGCAGTGAAGATAGAATCCAGAGAAAAGCGACCGGAAGCTTGGTATTGCTATGAGGTCTAATCTGCACACCTCTGGGACTAAATATCAAGCCAGGCCTCCAAAGGCCTACTTGTATGAGAGCACCGGTATGAACCAAGAATGGTATTTACGGGCCAGAGAAGACCAGAACCCTAAAATCTGGGATTAGGACCTTTTCACTGCTGGTGGGGGGCCCAAGACCACCTAACACTGTTGGAAGTTTCTCCAGGGAAGCCCAGTAACTCCCCAGGGGTGGACGAAGGCTGAGGAATTCTGGACCTAGCTTTGGACCGTGGCCTCTGCACCCAAAATGTGAACTTCTAAGGCACAAAATGGGGCTGTGCCAACAAAGCCCAGTTCATGGGGCTTTGGACTTGTGACCTTACAGCTAGGGTTGCCAGATTTACAAATAAAAATACTGTAGCAAATACTGCATGGAGCAAACTTACACTAAAGTATTATTCACTGTTTACCTGAAATGGAAATTTAACTGTTTTTTAATCTCGGAAAGGGCAGAGTCACCTGCCATGATTTGAAAAGAACAGGAAGAGAGAAGGGGGTTCTTGCTGAAGTGTAGACAGCACCTTCTCTAGGGAGGAGGGGAGGCCCTTGGTGTGGCAGCAGGCTTCACCGAAGGCACCCACGTTCTCTCAAAGATGGTTTAAGGAAGATGCTTCGGCCAAAGGGACAGGACAGAGGGCAGAGGGTGAGAGCACCAGGCTGAGGTCCTGGGGCAAACATCACACAGGCTTCTGGAGAGGGAACGGTGGGGTCCGCCCACCCGTGTTGTACTCAAGCATCTGAAGCCTTGATTGGGGGGGGGCGGGGTGCACAAATCTCAGGGAGCTGTCAGATTTGACTGATTACAAGGAAAACCTTTCTTCTAATAGACCACTGGCTACTTCTGGAAGGTGCTGCTTTGTGAAATCAAGAACCTCCCTCTTGGGAGCAAAGGTGCTGTGAATGGTCATTGTCACTGAATTTACAATTTCCTCTTTTCTGGGTGTGTCTAATCCCTTCTGCTGTCCTCAATGCCTGACTGACTCTCTCAAATAAGCATTTTTTTCTGGAGTCAAGATAAATTCTATGTCATCAGATAAATGTTACTGAGCACCTACTGTGTGTGGGTAATACCTACTGTGTAGAGGAGCTAGGGAAGAGGGAGACACAGACCCCACCTGTGTTCACGGAACTCCCAGAGCGGTAAACCAACAGTTTCAAGCACATGAGGAGAAGCGCTTACCAGCTAGAGGCCCTGGTTTTAAATTAGAAAGACACAAATGGCAAGAATGTGACTGTAGCTAAGATGATGATGATAATTATTACAGGAAGCTAATATCTATTCAGTACTTACTACTGAAATCCAAGCTCTTTCCATGTGTTAACTTGGACAATCATCATAACAAGCCCACGATGTGGGTGCTACTGGGAACCCAGTCCAGAGATGAGGAAACTGCCTAAGTCGCAGGCTGGGGAGCGGTGAGCCGGGGTTTGACCCGGATGGTCTGATACCCAGCCTGACCCTTCTCCACGGTGCTGGAGGGCCCCCACACACAACTACCTACTCGAGCACATTCTCTCAGGCGTCTCTCATCCCCTCAAATTTAGCATGTCCACAATGCACCTTGATAGCAACACGTCTACCTTCCAGCCTTCACATTGGCCCCCCAGTCATCCCCTTTCTGTAAGTGGCCGGTGCTGGAGGGCCCCCACACACAACCACCTACTCGAGCACATTCTCTCAGGCGTCTCTCAGCCCCTCAAATTTAGCATGTCCACAATGCACCTTGATAGCAACACATCTACCTTCCAGCCTTCACACTGGCCCCCCAGTCATCCCCTTTCTGTAAGTGGCCGGTGCTGGAGGGCCCCCACACACAACCACCTACTCGAGCACATTCTCTCAGGCAACTCTCAGCCCCTCAAATTTAGCATGTCCACAACGCACCTTGATAGCAACACGTCTACCTTTCAACCTTCACACTGGCCCCCCTGGTCATCCCCTTTCTGTAAGTGGCCCTACTACCTAGCCAGACGCACAGGCCAGAACCTTCTCTTCTGCTCGTGTCCATCTCATCAGCTATTGATTTTGTCGCCCAATCCTCCAAATTCAGGTACTTCTTTCCACCTCCACTGCCACATCCTGGTTGCAAACACCACCACCCCTTGCCTAGGTTGTTGCAGAAGCTTCCTACCTGGTCTTCCTGTTTTCATTCTTCTCTCCATCCAAACCAGTCTCTTACCCAAGGCAAGAGTGAGCAGAAACTGAAAATAGGACCATGTCCCGCCCCTGCTTTGAACCTTTCAGTGCCTCCCCACCACTGACTAGACTCCAGCGTCCCACGCCTGACCTTCAGGACTCTGCAGGTGGGCGCCCTGCCCTGCCTCCTCACGCTCCATCCTCCGGCCTCTGCACCAGCAGCCCTCTTCTTCTGCCCTCCAACAGGCCACGGTCTTCCCTGCCTTCAGGACTTTACTCCTGCTGTTCCCTCCCCTTGGATGCCCTTCCCCTAGCTCCTTACAGGGCTGGCTCCTTCCTGCGCCTCACGTATGAGCTTGAATCTCGATTCCAAAGGAGGCCCTCTCTGACCGGTGCAGCCAAAGGAGGGTTTGCTCCCCCCCCATGTTTACACATCCCATCTCCAAGCCAACTTCACCCTTCCCCTTGTTAGCACCTTTTGCAGTCCGTAACTATTTTTTTTTCCTTTTTAAAAAGTGTGGTTTTTCTGCAAGAATGTTAGTCAGTTCAGACCTGAATGTAAGTCATGAAACCATAAAACTCTTAAAAGACAACATAGGCAAAAATCTCTTGTATATAAACAGAGCAACTTTTTCCTGAATGCATCTCCTCGGGCAAGGGAAACAAAAGCAAAAAAAATGAGCAAATGGGACTACGTC